GAACCATCTTCTGATTTAGTTTTCTGGGCCACAATCAGAACATGTGAATCACCTGATGTTCCCCTCCTGTTTTCTGAAGGGGGCACCTATGAAACGACATCAAAGAATTAAATTTTTTAAAAACAACAACAAAAAAAAAGAAGAAAGAAAAGTGTCCACTTAGGCACACCCTACCTCCATCTAATTTTTGACATTACTTGCATCTATATAGGTATCCAGAACAGCTATCTGAGGGACTGCAAGATTATGGGAAACTTTGCCTCCACAAAAGGATACAATAGCTTGTGCCTTTCTGAGAGTCTTCACTGAGGTAAAGATTTTTACCAGTCCCAAAGTCACTGGGAAATATTAGTGGCAGAGGAAAACACATCTTTCCTCTCAGGGCCTTCCTGCCTCTCTCCTTGAGCATGCTTCATTCCCCATTCTACAAAGTTTTTGGGAAATGCAAAGTAGTTCCCCTAAACACAGGGATACATGATTTACCTATCATAATAGGAATGCTTCTTTTTAAAATAAAAAATTAAAACTATCTTCCAAATGAGATGAAACAAAACAAAGTTGTAACTTCTCATTCACTAATGCTCAAAAGACCTGTTACCAGGCTGGGGATTTAGCTCAGGGGCTCAGTGGTTCCACTATTTGCTTCACAAGCACAAGGCCCGGAGTTCGATCCCCAGTACCAAAAACAAAACAAAACACAAAAATCCACCTATTACCTTCTTCCTGAGTATCTGCTTAGTTGACATTTTATTGTAATTCAAAATTATTCCCTCTCCAACTTCTGCCTGAGACTCTGTAGAAGAAAGGAATATTTAGAGATTCTAGGTGATCTACTTAGCTGTTGAGTAAACTGAGAGCCATTTAATCCTCAGCTTCATGGGCTGCTGCATGACCCGGCCTCAGAATAAGAAGGAAAACTAAAGCCTTGTTTCTCCGATGTGTTTCAGTAGAGGCTGTGTACTCTAGAAATGAGCTTGAGCTGTGCAGTCAGAATGGTCTGATTTGAGGAATCAGCTCTAGCATTTAATAGATCTACAGCCTTGGGCAAGACACTTGACCTCTCTGAGCCTCAGCTTTCATTTTTTCTTCTTCTTTTCTTTCTTTCTTTTGGTACTGGAGATCCGACTCAAGACCTTGCACTTACAAGGTGGGCATGGTGCCACTGAGCTAAATACCCCACCAACCTCAGCTTTCTTTGTTTAGAAATGGAGAAAATAATAGCACCTGCACTAACAGCATAGTTATAAGGATTAGCAAAACATAGGCAATGTGTTGAGATTTGTGGAGCTATTATCCCCACTGTCTCCTTCCTGTATGGTCCCTTGGAACTGATACACACCAACTGAGCTCTCAACCCCGGCAAGGAGGCAAGGGAAGAGTTTTACAGTGGCATTCCATTGGGTCAGCTCCTCTAGTCCCATCTCCAGCATGACCTCACCTAAAACTGAGATCTTACTTTTAGGAGAGGTGTATTCCAGTTTTCCTTATCATATTCTTCAGGAAAAAAGAGAGGGAGGGAGGGAGAGTTAGTGAGAGAGGTTAAATTTCTCCTTGTAATTTTCCATCATGCTTGTTTTTAGGTGCCACCATATGAAATCTCTGAACTGAGGATTCTCATCAGTCTTTCCAGGACCAAGGACACAGCTCTGGCTATAAATGGTGCCAGTTTTGGTGGGGGAGCTGCTGCTGCTTTATCTGGGCCCAATAAACCTTATCAAACTGCTGTGCAGCCAGCCTTCAGCTCTAAGTGGAAATGCTCAGAGCCCAAGGCTGGCACTCAGCCCACAACCTCGCCTGCCGTCTCCTTTTTTGTTACCTTCTCCACCTCTTAAATTCAGGCATTAATCTCTCTTTAACACTTACTAACAAGGACTAGACTTTTTAACGGGCAGAGTTTATGAAGCAAGGGAGATTTTTACATAGAATGAATATGGGGGGGCAGGGCAATGGAAGGATAGTTCTTTCTCTACTATTGTTTCCAGAGATGATTCTCTCTTTCTCTGATTTGACGATTAACACATAAGGATCAAGGGTTAATGGTGTGCTTCTCTTACTACGGTGCTGGGGAGAGATTGGTACATGGATGCACAGCAGAAGCGCAACAAGTTTAATGATTCGTTCCATTTCACTGGTGAGGCATGGTGAAAATCTTCCATTCTTGGTCTCCTTACAGACCAGTTCTTCCTTAGCTTTCTTTAAATCCTTTTTACTCTTACAGTACATTATATATATACTGAATAGAACTGCTCATTTTTGGTTACCAAATGCAAACGAGGTAAGTGGACTCTCCCGGCCCCGTGCGTTTTTTGACATTGTATCCACTAGGGGATGACCTGATTACTTCCCTGGCTTCTCTGGGCTGACTCCTGCTGTTCTGAGCACTTTGCCTGCGGGAGGGAGGCTGGTGTGTCCATTGCTGGGATGGAATGTCCTGTCTTTGGGTCTACCCATTAGCAGCTCTTGTGAGCCGGGATCAGTTCCCATCTGTAAAACTCTGCCACCTGGCCTTCGGCGGAGTTTGCCTTTATTGGGCCTCTGTCCGCTACAGCTCTTGGGGTTTAACTTTCAGTCTGGGGCAACGCCAAGAGGCGCGCCTCAAGATATGATTCTATGTGAGTCCTGCAGGAAACCTTTGGCTCACTGGCCAGTCAAGAATACAGCGTGTTCTAAGGACTCCACGAGGGACGCCCCAAATTGTTTAAACAGCGGGACCTCGGGGATGGTTGTGCTGAATCCCCTGGATGGCGCTGTCCGCCACGTCCCCACCCTGTCGCTCCACTCTGGTACTTTAGTCAAAGGCTACAGCCAAGGCTTGAACTACCGGCAGGGCTTTTCACCTCTGGTTCCCTACCTGCGCCCAGCTGCCCTGGGTGGGGGTGGAGGAGCTTTCCGCAACCGAGGAAGGGCAGTTTCTTTGGTGGAACTATCCTGGGTTTAGCGATCTCAACCCCACCCTCTAGAGGGGCCTGCGGGCTGAGAGGAAGACGCACTTTTGAGCGGCCCAGAGCTTTATCCACGTTTCCAAACGAGCCCCTAAGATTGCGCTGAGCAGGCGCGGCTTCTCGGCGACAGCTACCACCCGCGTTACTTGGAGGTGCTTGGCGGAAGGGACGCCCAAAATCCGGAGGGAGGAAAGTTTCTGTCAGGCCTTGACATCGTACGCTAGGGATCGCGACAGCTAAAATAGGGTGTCTGCGCCCTGCCAGGGTCTCCCGGACCTCCTGCCATCTGGTTCACTTAAGCCCGAGAACGCTGCGCCACGAGACTTTCGGAAATCAGGATGCTTATGCCGGAAGGCAGGCAGCTGAAAAGCTGAGGCCTGGGTTTGGGTTGGGAAAATGACCTTTTAAAGCCAATGTCGAGGATATTAGGGATGATGCCGGGAGCCTCTAGGAAAAGCGAAAAGCGAGATGACACTCACTAAATTGGGCCAAACACTGAAACGAGGGGCAAAACTCTGCGCTTGAGCACCAGAGGGGGTAAACAAAAGCCGTGGAAATTAAAAACTTGAGGCAAGGCGGGAACAGCTCCTTGCCCCTGGTGCACCATTGAAGGCTCCAAGTCTCTTGCACTCCTTCCTACTAGCGCCTTCTGTCCTCTCCACTTAGCGGGTGAGCTGCTGGAGCCAGCAGCA